ATGGTCAGTTGTGTGACTATGAGTTTGGACTTTCTTTACACTATAATGTATAGATGACTATATTATCCCTATAACACTGATTGGTCACTGCTAAAAAAATGCAACATGAACGACGAAAATTTCTATCGATGATGCTCAAATTACTCTATTAGCTATAATTTTCGTCCATAAATTCTATATATGGATCATGAAAGTGGGTAGGTAATATTTTGATGAGCCGTCAGTAATTACCAAATGATTAACAAGAAAATCTATCAAAAAAATTATAATTAATTATTTTTTCTTCTTATCGACGGAGTTTTAGCAACATATTTCCTTCGATAATTCAAAATTATAAAAGAATTTATTTTCCGTCGTTGTTACCTCGCATTCTAGCAGTGATGTGAACTTGTCTCAAGTGTATCAAACACGTAACATAGTATACTCCATCAAGAGAACTCAAAGAAACTTACAAACCGTGTGGTACCCACCCTGGATCCTAGAAAATATGCTAAGCAACAGAACATCAATCTTGCAAAATCTCAAAGTCAATGTGATGCCCATTATCGATTTCCAGTTTAACAAGACAAGTCACATATTTCACTTATTTTCAGTTGATTTTGTTCATATAAAATATTGCTGAGATCGTGAATTAAACTTGTAATTGGGGAAATTATGGGTTGAGTGATTTAAACCCTATTGTTAGTGTTGCCTGAATTTGAAGATTTTCAAGTTGTAATTGGTGTTGCCTGAAGAAGATTTTCAAGTTGAATTTCCAAAAGTATTTATAGACAGTTTAAAATATAAATAAAGAGAAATGAACGGGTGCTTGTGAATTCCACAAATTGTGTAAATAAAATGTGATTTGAGTCATTATAAACGTGACACAAACAGGGGCGGAACCAGCCCCTTCGAAGTAGGGGGGTCCCAGAGTTGAAGGGTGGGCCCTCGATTTTTTTTTTTAAAACATTATCTATTAAAATGAGGGAAGTTGGTACTTTGTGATGGAGACAGGAAATAAAGGAAAATAAATTAATGTATATTATTACAAGCGTTCCTTGCGAGTTCTCATATGATATCGACTCATAAGTCTGTCAAATACATCTTTCTCAATATACACAAGCAAACTATCATTTAACCATTTATCATTCATTTGATTGCATAATTGATTCTTGACATAATTCATTGCGGAGTCGGGACGGAAATACTTGGATTTGGATTGGTAGGGTTTAAGTTTTTTATTCATTTGAGTACAAAATGNTTTTGAATAGTGATATGATGGGAAATGTGTGGTTGAAAAAGAAGAAAAAAGTATTGATGTGATGGAAAATATTATTTTATTGAAGAATGTGTGGTTGAAAATGAGAATTGATTTACTGTAGAAAAGGAGAAGTTTTACCAAACAGGCTATCAATCTTATTTCGTTTATTTTGACAATATTGTTTACTTTGTTCATTCATATTTCATAAAAGATTATTGATCAACCAAGAAGGAAGTCTGGGATTCTTAAAAAAAAGTTAGTATTTGTCAAGACGAACACAAATTAAAAAAAAAAAAAAACTTCTATAAATACATTTCTTTCTACGTAAACTGTTTCTTATTCAAATTCTGCCAAACTTACATTTACCATTTTGAAGGTGGTCGACCTCACTGACCTGTTACTCTACATATTTGATCATTTTTTAAGTGAAATGCTTGACAATGGCTTTCTTTTTCTTAAACTGCATCCTTGAATTAGTTTATGTTTTTATTTCTTTACTTGATTCATTTGGTTTCTTAAAGGACAGTATGGTTGTACCGTACTGCTTATTTTTATATCATGCATTAAATGAACAACCCCCACATTACATAAGTTTACTTATAAGCACATTTCTTATATTTAGAATTAATATTATTACTTATTTTATCGATAAGAACTAGAAATAATATTTAACTCAAATTGATAAACACTTAAACTGCTTTATATTTATATACACACGCACGCACGCACGCACGTTTCAAGTAATTCACAAAGATGATTTTGATTATGAGGAACTCCAAATTAACATAGGTAAATAGATTGGGTACACAAAACTTCACTTTTGAAAGTCAAAAATTCATAAGCACACCACATAAAATGTTGGGAAGTTCAACCCTAATTATATATATTCTTTGCTTTTTACCAGAATGGGTTACTTTTGCATGCTGATTTCACACCCGAAGTGTCAACAAGACTGATTTCATTTGCACAGCCATCAATAGGGACAAAGCACATGCAATGCTTCCTTTCATTATTATTCATTCATTCACAGTACAGGACTTATTTTATCAATTCCAATAAGTTGATTACTCTTGTTTAGAGCATGTTTTGCAAAACTTCTTAATTTTAACAATAAATAACTTAAAACATGTTTGAAAAGCGTCTGTAAACGAGTTAAATTATAAATAAAAATAAATGAGTGGTAGATAAGTGGATAATAATGTGAACGTTAAAATCGTATGATATTTTTGATTCAATTGGAGAAGAATGTTAAATGATTTGATAGTTTTTGACTTCAAGTTTAGGTCACGTAAATGTAGGGTTGGACAAAACTCCCGAACTAAACCAGATCAGACCGAAACGAGCCGTTCTTCATAAGTTAAATACTCGAACGAATATCTAAATCGAAAATCGAGGATTTTGGTTTGATTCAGTTCTCGGTTCTAGACCCAGAACTAAATAAGAACTGAATTTAATTATTATTTTTTTATTTTTTTTGAAAAAATTAACTAATTTAGTGATTAATGTTTTAACTCTCAAATCAAGTCCATGCCTCGCTAGCTAAGTCCAACCCAATTTCTAAATTCAATTTTTTGGTCCTATTATTAATTTCATTCTTAACTCAAGATCTAGGTCTTTTTAAATTTTTATCATTCTCTTTCAAATTTCACACTTTCATTCGGTAACCACTGAGTCAATGACTCCAAATCATTTGATAAATTGAAAACCTACATCTACATGTCCAAATCGAAATTGCCGACTGTTGAGTCCGACTTCCCCTCTCCAATGCCCATCGAAGTTGCAACCTCCAACCACGACTACCGATCATTGACCATTAAAAATCTGTTAAAAAAATTAATTACGGTACAGAACCGAATTGAACCTAACCGAACGATTCCATAATTGTATTTGGACCCGACGGTTCCATTTATTAAATACTGAAAATTTCGGTTATGTTCAGTTTTCTTCAGAATCGAACCGGATCGGACCATATCAAACCCTACGTGAATGTCCCATGTAAGCATCTATTTGGCCACCATTAAATTAATAATTTATTTTTCTCTTTTATCTTATCAATCACATATTTGGGGGTGAAATGGGGGCTGACATCAAGATTAATGATTTTTGTCAGGTCGAGATCTAGATTTATTTTTTAATAGATTAGGGACCTAAAACCCTATTTTTAAAGGTTGAGGATACAGAATCACGCCTTATGAAAAGTTAGTGAGCAGATCTATCATAATATATGTCTATATTTATATATAATAGAGGGCATTTTGGTCATTAGAAAAGGTGTTGTCAATCAATGCAAAAGGTTGAAACAAAATCATAATATTCCCTAATATTTTAACTCCATAATTTTCTCCTGTCTCAATCTATCACCTCTGCCCTACTGTCAACCTCTTTTCATTTCCACAAAAGCCCTAATCAGGTCCCTTCGGTACTCCGCTCTTTCTCTCTCTATATCTATTGTTTTCTTTCTCTATATCTATTTTTTCTTGCTCTTTCATTGTGTACATATACATACAGAGTATAACTACAGTTGCCCTTCTTTTTAAGGAAAAAATTATCAGCCAATCTCTACACAAATATTTACAGAAAACAAAGCCGTAAAAGCTAACCAAACATCATAGAACTTTCATGGTTTTCTAGGATTGATCAAACATCATAGATAGATGGATATATTATACAAGAAAAGCATAAAGCTCTTGTAACTGTTCATACTGTGCCCTCTGTCTCCTATTTCTTGCCATCCTAGAATTAACTTCTTGAAATCTCAGTCTATACCTCTAAACCCTTTCAAAAATGGCGAAGAGTGAATCCTAATTGATGCATTTTTGTTTGATTTCTTGATCAAGAATTGTATGTTCGGGTTGGATACCCTAGAGTCAAAGTGACTGAACCTTTCTTTCTTCTCCATTTGAGCCGAGATCAGACGAGCAGCCATGAACCCAACTCAAGAAATGGACTCTTCAAGCGCAGAAATCACCACTTTCACCGTTAACACCCCACCCAGCAATAACTCAATGGTGGGTTCACCTTCAGGTTCCTCCACAGCCGCGGCATCTCCAACAACACTAAGCCGATACGAGAACCAGAAGCGCCGGGACTGGAACACCTTTGGCCAGTACCTTCGAAACCACAGGCCACCTCTCTCCCTCTCTCACTGCAGTGGCGCCCATGTCCTTGAATTCCTCAGATACTTAGATCAGTTCGGAAAAACTAAGGTTCACACTCAGCTGTGTCCCTTCTTTGGGCACCCAGACCCGCCTGCACCATGCCCTTGCCCCTTGCGCCAAGCCTGGGGAAGCCTTGATGCCCTTATAGGCCGTCTCCGGGCCGCCTATGAAGAAAATGGAGGCAAGCCTGAAGCAAACCCTTTTGGGGCCCGGGCAGTGAGGCTTTATTTACGTGAAATTCGTGATTCGCAGTCAAAAGCTCGGGGAATCAGCTACGAGAAGAAGAAGCGAAAGAGGCCATTGCCACAGCAGCATCAGGCTTTACCACCACCAAATTCAAGCTAATATGGCCAACATCTGCATGAAATTTGTTGCCAACTATCAAAATATTACTTCTTATATCTTATCTATTAGCAATCTTAGCAACTGCAACACCTATGAGACATTATGAAAAAAAAGGTACCTAATATTGCCCTTTATATGTAAGCTTTGTTATTGTCTTTCTGCAAAAACTATGTTCATATTTCGTGAATACTGTTGAGCCTTCTGGTATAATTTTTAATTTCATATTGCAAGTGACAGTTTTGTACTAGTGGCAGGTTATAAGACTGTGTGACCAAATTGTCATGGATAATTAATTCTGAAAACCCATTTATGATAAGTAATAGATTTTTCGTATCTATTTTCTTGTCTTTCTTTTTAATGTGGTTTCGTCATTGTTTCAGCAAATGTATAGAAAGGGATGAGTTACAATTTCCCTTTTTGCATACTGTACATTTGCTAATTTTGAAACTGAAATTACTAATGAGCATGGCTTCTGTACGTAAACTTTTTCAAAACCCTTGTATTCTGCCCCCTGACACTAGGTTCAAAAGCTTCTTCTGTAGCCCTTATGAGTAGTATACATTCTTGTAGTTTTTCTTCATTTAAAAATATTCTTTTGGTCATTCTCTGTAGAATTTTTGGGTGAGTGCTAACTTAGTTGAGATGCTCCTTTCCTCTCTTCATCGGGGAGCCTAGGTTTTTCAGAAAAAAAAAAAAAAAAAAAGAATAAAAGCAAACAGGTCAGTGCATGTGCACACATGACCCACCCCTATTCCCAGCCCCCAGTAAAAGCCATTAAAGTGACAAGTGCATAACTTATCCATAAAAAAAATAAATAAATAAATAAAGAGTTTTGCTTCAAGATAATGTAATTCGTACCATACATGACGTTGATACATCGCTATTCGCTACATCTATATTGACAAAAGATATATGCTTAATTCTCGACACAATTTATCTAAAAAGTTAATAAGTAATTACTAATTAGTTATCGGGGAGCCTAGGTTTTTCAAAAAAAAGAAAAAAAAAAAAAAAAAAAAAAAAAAAAAAAAAACCTTACGAGTCTTGTGTGTGGTCGTATGTGAAATAGGGATGGGAGTGGCTCAAATGGTGTATGCAAATCCATTGCCCATTTTTCAATTGTCAAATCATTTGTATTACTTTGTATGTCCCCCAAAGAGAAATTAGTCAAATCCGCTGTGCTGACTCTTTGAACAGTATAATTTAGTTAGGCATTCATTAAAGGCTATTTCTTGATATCCATATATGGAAAGCAAAGTAAAATTCCATTCATTCTGCCGGTATCCAAGAAACATATGTGGCCGGCTTCGATACATAGCAAGATATACAAGGCATTTTAATGATCCAATATCCTGCAGATTTGCTGATGCTACACTAACACGTATGTGTATTAGAGTGAACCAAATGTTTTGAATCAACTTCCAGTACCAGAAATTACTAGACTTAAGCAGTAGTATAGGATTAAGGAACTGAATAAAATATTGGGACCCACCCATAAGATTGAAGGAAAAGGGAAAATGATTTTTTTTCCCCATTTGTCTGCTGATGTTTATATATTTTTTATATAAATTATTGGCAGCGGCTTACTGTGCCTATCAATTAGATATGTATCTTTTTGATAGGGATATGATTATTTCATTTCCTTGTCACGATCCATCATATGTTTAAGAATTCTGGATTCTTCCATCAGAAGATTTCATATGCATCTAGCAAAATCCTAGAGCTAGTTTTTTCACTGGGTTTAGAGAAATCGAATCACATGAAGTTCATTTTGTTTTAATCAAAGGGTGTAAACGAATCAAATTGAGTTGTATGAAATATATTTTTCAAGCTAACTAGCTTTTGGTCCTTGATGGGGTTGCAATGCCATTGAACATAGAACTTGTTAATTTCTGTAGCTGAAGTTCTGACTCCAATGTATATAGCATTGATTGTCCATTAACAATGGATCCGAGTTGCGCTCTATATATTAGTTGATGACACTTTATAGGTGCGTTTAGTACGTAGAATTAGAAAGACACGATTACGAAAAATTGATATTTTTTATTGTAAGCCCATACATCCACTAAGTTGTGGGGTTATTTTTTATGACATGTAAAACAGCGGTCAAATTTCTCTAAGAACTTTCAACGTGTTTGGTTGTACTTTGTTTTTTGCACAACATATAGAACTTGGGTTTCATTCTCTTTACTTCAATTTTACTTTTCTTGGTTGTACTTTGTTTTTTGCACAACATATAGAACTTGGGTTTCATTCTCTTTACTTCAATTTTACTTTTCAAGAAATGAGTGTGGATAATCGAGTAGCAATTTATGAGCTCTATAAAATGTATGGTTAAAATTAATATTTAACTTTGAAAAGTAAAATTTAAGCAAAAGTGAATGAAACCCGAACGAAGGCTAAGCACAGCGAAACAACTCCTATCAAAAATTCCTTTGAATTTCTATCACCATTTCAAAGTTTATTGATCTGATGTAGGTCTCCCTTGGTTTGTTGTTTTAGGGTTCTCTCTGTATGGGTTTCATATAATTTTTTTTTCTTTCATATTATTATTAATCTTGGTAGACTTCTGTAATTTAGGTCATGCATGTGCTTGGCTATAATATGTATATATAGGTTGAAATGAACACCTAAATAAGAATCTATGCTATGTATCCCTAGGATTAGGAGCTGCTTTATATATAATCAGTGCTTATCAAGCATTAAATTAGATGCTTGACTACTATGTATGTACAAACACAGATGCCATGATCATGCATAAGCATAATGCTTCCCTTCTTCTTCAATTATTGTCATGATCGTCGATATTAATACAAAAACAGATGTATTTTGTACATTTGTGGGCAAACGAGCCCGGCCGATGGTTTCTTTAATATTTTTGCATAAATCTGAGGGGAAATTGTGGATTTCGAACTGAAACTAGCTAGTAATTGGAACTTGAATTCGATGAGTGTCAATGGTTTTGTCGTTTATGTTCAAGAATATTGAATGACTGTTGCCTATGGTATTTTTACCTAAATAGTGGCATTTTTATAGCTTGAAATGTGTTCACATTTATTTGCACTTTTAGCCATATCTGTTCTAATTTGTTTTTTTCCCCTTAGTAATTTGTTTTACAAGATCTATTGATGCACTAGAAATTGACTAAAAAATTCTAACTTCTATTCTCTCTCTCTCTCTCTCTCTCTCTCTCTCTCTCTTGTGAGGGAGATCTCGAACCATCAAAACCACTAGATAGGCCATCCCACTTCAGCCTTGTTGCCACCACTACCACCCTTCCGCCACCACTCCATCCACGATGGCGTGGAGCAAATCTTTTACCTCCATTTTCAAGGAGCCGTACCTTTCTTCCTCCTCTATTCCTCCCATTTCTTGATTGGGGGAACCATATTTAAAAGAACTACTCTCTTTAGAGATCAAAGTAGGCATTTATTTGGTGGGTTAGTTTGCCTTACCAGAGGTTAAGGACAAAATCTTATATCGAGTAAAAAGTGAAACAAATAAACAATATATAAGGGTTTGGGTTATTCCTATAAAAAAAAATGCTACTTTTAAGATGAAACTTGAAGTCTTAATTATTGGATGTGTGGAGCTTAATATACTGTACAATTTTTTTCTAGTAGAGGAAGGAACAGATACAGGCGTGAACGCAGAACACATTGTAATTATCTTTGATGTAGTGTAATTGGGCAGCGACACTTGGTACAATAGCTCACACATTGAGAGTGAGGCACGTTATATCACGTGTTATTCTTGATTCAGATAAACTATCATCTTGCGATGGTATATTAAGATACATATTGTGAAACAAATAAACAATGTAAAAGTTTATGATACGTCTCATGTTGACATAGCAAGACGAAATACAAGTCTTAACAGCAGGATTGTGCTTTTGCTTAAGCAAACGTTACCAAAAACTCTCTTCATATATTGCCACACAGTTTGCTTAAGCGAAAGTTATCTCTGGCAAAGGCAAACAAAAACCAGCCCATGAAAGTTTTTCTTAAGCGAACAGGAAATTTTGTCAAGTTCGACTTTGTAAAAACATGAATAAGCTTAACATATTGTTCCTTGAAACCTTGAATCTTGTTGCTCTATACACGAACGTGATGATCATTTCATAGAAATCTTCATGAAGAATGCCAACAAGAAGAGAGTAATTGCACTAACATTTTTGGGCCAGTTTACAGTAAGCTCGCTTGGGGGAACTCTCTTTCCTTTACGAGTGGATTAGTTGAATAATTAGATTGTTACTCTCTAAGAGGATCACAGATTTAAGAGTGGCAAAGGAAAAAATGCCAGATACCTAAAAAGGCTCATTCTCGGGATGGGTGACAACTACCATTCCATTATGAATGGGATGGTGGAGTACCAAGACAAAAGCTGGTACGGAAAAACCTTCTATATAAGGCCCAAGTAATTCGATGGGTGTAGTTGATGAACCATACCACATAATTCCAGCAACAACAGAAGCATCAAAAAATAGGTTATCCCATATCGATCGGCCAATCAACAAAGATCTGAAGAATGACAACTTTTTGAGCCTACGAAAGGAAATGTATGTATAAGCCAAGTTCGTTACACCAAGCCGTTACACAAATCTCTTTGTTTCAAATAGGTTATCCCATATCGCCCGGCCAATCAACAAAGATCTGAAGAATGACAACTTTTTGAGCCTACGAAAGGAAACTCCAGGGAATCCCCTTGGGAGGATGAGCCAATCGTAAAAAGAACAAGGCCAAACTTAGCTTGTTGACGATTTTGCTCTAACATGGGCAATTCGAAGGATGCTTGCGCTAAAAGAAAAAGAAAAAGTTCTTACTGGATTTACTAGGCTTGTTTGGAAGAAATTATAAGTTGATAGAAGTGAATGGTGGACAAATAAGTAGTATTTGTGGATCTTACAAAATGTATGGTCAAAATTAAAATTTTAGATTGACCAGCATTATAATTTAAGCCTAATTAACAAGCAAATCTCGAGCTGATTTAGAATTGCAATA